CGTAACACTGATACTTGTTATTTTCCAGTAATTTTACTGGTTATATTTTTTACCTTTCAACACATATTACAGATCCCGTTATTCACCTTAGCGGGACATCGGGAAACTGTCACACGCATTTGCTGGTTACCTTCCACTCTTACTAATGATAGCGAAATAAAGCCTGGTGGAAACCAGCTACTGTCTATCAGTTGGGATCATAGTCTACGTATTTGGGATTGTGAAGCGGCCAAAGGTAACACTAGTGCTGAAGTCCGGTGTATACTTTCCAATCATGCTTTGCATGATGCAGATGTCAATAGTAGAGGTATTTTGACTGCTTCTTCTGATAACTGTATTCGAATATTTGATCCACGAGCAGAAGGTAAGCTTTATTATATTACGTAACAAACTTTGTCCTTGAAGATAGTTATTTTTTAACAATACTCATTATCTTTGATTTAATTTTCAAAGTACTTTGCATACTGATGAATGTCCGAACAAGCATTCCACATTAATGGAGATTTCACTGCGCATGACGTAAATGCTTCGACATTTTAGTCATTACTTTCCAAATTTTGGTAGCTGATAAAACCTCAGATGGAATGCAAAGTATTCGCTTGATTTTTACCATTTATGACTCAACTAATGTGTGTGAATACCTAATTAAGAACAAGAATATTATGATCCAGTTTTTCCTCTGCTACCACATCTGTAAAAAAACCAGCCTGAAACTTAGTGGTATGCAATCATAAGTTCTTCATAATCACTGTTGGTAGCCAATAAGATCACCAAGCGTCCAATGATGATGTTAGGTGCAAAAGCGATGTTGGTTAATGGGTTTGTGAGGTGTTATTGACTGGGTTGGCTTGGGGGTGCGTTATGTCTAACTATCCACTACTTTCCCCACCCTACTGAATTAGATTCTACAGGAGTAACGTGATAAAAGTCTTATAATGGCTTAAACAAAACAGCATTACTCATTTAGGTTGTTGACTATATTACTGTATAGCTATGATATGTAACCTTCAAAGGTAGACTACATTCGTAAGTTACCGGTATTTGAGCATAGTTATGCATCGATCAAGATAGTCGGGACATGTTATGAATGTTGAATCATAAATTACTTCGATGTACAAAATTGGTTGAAGTAGAAATAAGTTGGAAGAAAGTTTGCAGCTGCCCAAACAAATATATGACACCAGTCTGTGTATTTACTAACTGTTCGTTTGTACCATGTTGGTAGATACAGATTCCTTGGTTGGAGTGCTTATTATCGAATGATACGTCACAGAACCCGTCGCACTGACCAAGACACATCCACTCTTTATTAGCTTCTAGATCTTGAGTTTCAACATTTCTTCGTTTATACAGAAGGATTTTGTTGATTGATCATACAACATTTTAGACCATTAAAGTAAGCAAATAGAATACTGGTCGATAGATGGTAAGCAATGATACGAAGTGTAGCTGATTGATAGCTGCCCACAAGACTTGTGTTATTGACATAAGCCCGCAAATGATTACTGAACATAGAACTACTGACCAGAAGAATAAACGTTTTATGCAATAAGATGACAGTTTTGTATACAAAATACTAACAAAAATGGACATTTCACAAGCGATTGAAGGGTATCAGTTTATGGGTCACTCACTACTTTCCGATCACTTAGGACCTAACTGTTAGGCTTATTACTTTTCCACCGTATCACTCCCATACATAACTTATTTTCAAACCATATTCCCAATCTCTCTTTTTTCACTATCAATACTACTAATATTACTTCGACTTGTTTGATGCTTATCTTGTTAATTTCACCTCATTGTCCCAATGTGGTATGACAACTTGGGTCAATGCACACTTGTATCAGGCTCTACGTTGATTATGACCGACCGAATAATAAGACCTTGAGATGAAGGCACTAATATGTCTAATTAAAAATTCCAGAGGACTTAACCATCCAGAGAAGTGATCAAAATAAGACTTTATGATTTACTGACTGGGATGTTACCCAGTGTACAAAGATAAAGATTCAATCAATATGGTTATTTGAATAGCAAACATTTTTTTGTTTGTTTGTAACTATCTATCACCTAACCATGCCTTTTAAAATTTAAATTTCTGTTCTAATATTGAAATATACATGTATATACTTCAAAATCTCCCTATTTTAAATTCTTTTTCCACCAAATTATTTTATAAAGCACCTTTAGTACTCTCTGGATTTCAAGGACACACAGGCTGGTTGACTTCAGTTGCTTGGGCACCTCATAGACAAGATCAGTTTATATCTGGATCAATTGATCGTAGTGTTCGTCTATGGGATACACGTAATCCTCGTTCCTCTCTATATGACTTAATGGGACATGCTGATATTGTGACAGATGTTGATTGGGCGCCTGCAATTAAATTACTTACTAATGATAAACCTGTACATTATATCTTAAGTTCATCAGCTGATTCTACTGTAAAAGTTTATCACTATCCAGAGTGATATAATTTATGTTTTGATTATGACAATCGAATATCTGTTTTTGATTGTATAAAAACACATTTGTCTGTTCTCGAATTAAGAAAAAAATAAAATAAAACAACCTGATTTCACATTGCATTCTATGAGTTTTTATTAAACTTGATGAATAAAACATGAATAATGTACAGCCAATTCAAAATTAAACACATTATCCCCATATGTAAAACGTGTTCTTGATCATTAATATTTTTAATATTGAGTATGATAAATGTTCTATTGAAATGACTGGTTATAAACTGGGCCTTTATAAGAGAAGTCTTATTTTTAAATTAAAACATAGGTGTGCATATACTGGTTTTATACACAAAGCAAAATATTTCACGTTGACGAATACTGTTTGTATGTAAACAAAATAGAATTGACTCTATTTGTTTAACCATTCAATAGAATTTTATATGTCGGTCCACTCATAATTGTTCGGATTAATTAGAGAGTTCGGGTTGTCAGATGTTTAAGGCTGTCAGAAAAGAGATCTCTTACATGTAATATTTGTTATTATTATTACTATCATGTTTCCAGCTTAAAGTTTACCCATTAGCTTTCTGTTTAATTGGATCTCTGTCGAGAATTACTAATGTCCTATATTGAAATTCGTCCACCAGACTATATCATTACGATTGTACATTCATTATATATGTGACTGTGACTTATCCAAGAATTTAGACATTATTAAAAAATCTATGAACAACACAATGAGCTACATCCGGTTTGACTTTTTGAAAGTTGGTATTTCGAGACATAATTTATTACTAATTATTTATAATGTTTTAAGCCATGATTTTTCAGCGATTCTGTAGTATAACTGTTAATCAAAGCCTGAAATGGATTGAGCTGTTAGTGAATAATATGACCCCATGAGATATAGTTTCCATTGACAGAGTTATAAATCACACCTATCATAAAAAGCTACATGTCATAGAACTTTTCAAGTGTTAGATGCTAGATTGGTTCAAACTTATGACCCAATAGCAAGTGATGAACCTAGACCCCAAAGTACATCGTCTAGTTCACATCAGATTAATTAGTATGTGTGCTACGATTATGTTAAACGTTATTATACATGATCCTCTTGTTTAATACGATTTACATTTTTTACTTTCTTAATCTCTCATATACATTACGTGGTTTAGTAGATAATGTGCTTATTTTCAGTGCAGAAATTGATTGGTTATCCAGACCTCCACTAATTATCCTATAAACTTTATCACTTGTAAATAGATGGTGTTTTTAAAACAGTTTGACTTTCAACTAATTAGGCTCCAAAAAACCAAGGCATTTTTTGATAAATTAAAAATTTTTTGAATCACTACTGCTGATTACTATAGCTCTAAGCTGTGGAAACTTACCATGCCTCTATCATTCAACAAATGTACAAGTTAATTTCCTCCATTCACCAATGACATTTTATCATGTTCATTTTGTTACATCAAAAACTATTCATCCGGCTAGTGTTCTTGTATTTGATTGGTAATTATTCAGAGACCCAAGTCAATAATATGATCTTGGGAGTAGCCGACACCTCGTTCATCTGTCGATTAGTATTTTATTCATTGATTTGAACAACCGAAAATTTCGTTAATTGATAAGATTTCATCTAACATGAGTAAACAATTTAAATTTCGTAAATTCTTGTAGGTCGGGAATAATCTCTCCTGAATAATTACTGTCCGTATATCTGTTAATAATTCCCGAAACAAATTTATAACGTTAGTGAAGTTTGATTGTGGCTAGCAGAGAGGAATCGCAATATTGACACTGGGATGGAGATGTATTCAGCTGAAAAGTCTTCAAGAAGTTGAAACGTGCATCGTGGCGTCCGTCGCTGACCATAATTCAAGATTCTGACTAGACGACAGTGTCAAGTAAATTCATTCAGGATCTGCATATGCCAATACTGATCGGTTGGGACCCTTAACATCAACATCGGGGAAATCCAAACTTTTCATGTATTGGATGAGGTTATATATTAACACCATTGGATGCTGGCTTAATGGTATATTGGTTCAGTGTTCGTGCAAGACCGAAGTTTCTGGGTCTAAGTTCTGCATACGGGATCGTGAACGCCCACTGTTGAGGAGTTCCGTTTCCAGTGCTTCCAGGTCCTCAATGATAGTTTAACATTTGATCGGTTAATGATTTTAATGGAAAACAAACTAATGCACTCCCTGTAAAATCTATGTGCTCAGTACGGATTCTAGCTTAAAGTGAAAATTATTACTTGAAATTAATTCATGCAAAGAAAAACCTATTCAGTAATTTTCCTCTAATAGTGGTTTGTGTTGATAGTTTTTGTCGAATTGTGCTTCGTATGTTCATGAAACTTATGTTTAACAGAGTTTATAATAATCTCTAAGAACAATTAATAAGTTGCCTATCACTTCAACCTAAACAGTATAATATTAATTACTATTTTCCCTTGAATATCGTCCCATTTATTTTTCATAACACTTAATTGTAAATTCTTTTGTTTATTTATTTGATATTGTAGAACAAACAACAGTATTCATCACATTACCGTTTTTTCATAGTTATTACACATACAAAATGCCGTTAATTCTGTTATGCGGGTATCCTTGTTCAGGTAAATCAACCATTGTCTCTTTATTAGCTGACATACTAAAGCAACATTTACCTCATTATTCAATTCTTATTGTGGATGAATTTAAAAGTGGCAATCTACAATCGAAAATAACAACTAACTATGATATCAGATGTGATATTTATGCAGATTCCCTAAAAGAACGTGAATTTCGCGGTCAACAAAAATCAGAGGTATGAATAAACTTCCCTTAATATATCCAACTGTCCATATTAACAGCATATAATCGATTGATAAGTAGTTTGAGGAAACAAACCGACCGTTGTTGCTACCTTGACGTGGTGGTCGGGCTTGCCTATCGTGATGAAGCAACCGAGCTATACTGGCTGGAACAACCGTTCCTCAAGGTCCTACCATGTCAGACAGGTCGGTTGAAGAGCGGTAAGACTAAAAGCAACAAACCCAAGGTCCTAAGGTGAAGTCGTACTGCTGACTGTACAGAGGTGTGACGGCAGTAAGGTGTTTCCTTCAGACAACCAGCATAACGGCGATGCTGCCTTCCCACAAGGAGGGGTGGGGTTAGAAAAGGTCGACCCTAAAAATGCACACCTCACCTTACCTCACGGATTTCCGTCTCCGGCGGTAAGACCCTTTTGAAGAACGGAGCTAACACGTCAAAAACCTTCCATGAAAAGGCCGTGCGCGACCGGCCTCAAGCAGTTGTCCCTTGGGCACTGCGGTCACGCTCTCAGGTCACTGAGACCACTTCTAATGCAATTTCCTTTTCAGGTACCTCCAGAAGAACCCTTCCACGGTGTGGGCAACCGGGAAATGATAACCGCCCGCATACCTCTAACAGCACGCAAGACCACTGTATTCATAATCAACCTTCCTCTTCCATTCCTATTATTCCTCCTACATCGACTTTCAACCCTAAACCTCCTCCTTCGGCTTCCTCCTCAAGTGTCACCATAGCCAACGATTCTAGTGCTCAAAACTCTGTCACAGGTCTACTGAAACCTCGCTCCAAACTACACATTGGAGCTTTCAACGTACGCACTCTATGTCAAATCGGTCAGCAGGCTTCCTTGGCTAAAACCCTAGAGTCTCTTTCCATTGATGTATTCTGTGTCTCCGAAACACGCATACAGGATTCCAGTGTGGTCATTCACTTGACCTCACCTCGGCAAAACGGAGAGCCAACGAGATACACCCTCCGTGTATCTGGTGACCCTATGGCCAGTTCTCGTGGACTGGCAGGTGTAGGCATAGCACTAAGCATGAGGGCGGAACAAGCACTGCTAGAGTGGATCCCCGTCAACAGTCGCCTATGTGCTGTTCGGCTAAACGGCTCCGTAAAAACTCGGAAGGATAAGGACACACGTCGTTGCCTTTTTGTCTTTTCTGCCTACGCTCCCACCGACTGCGGCTCAGATGAAATGAAAGATGAATTTTACAGAAAGCTGTCCGAAATTCTTCAGAAAGCTAAACGCTCAGATATAGTACTCGTAGGGGGTGACTTTAATGCTCAGATAGGTAGCTTAAACCAAACAGAATGGCATTTAGGTGGATATTTTAGTATTCCGGTACGACGAACAGATAATGGTGATCGCCTGCTGCAACTGTGCTCAGACAATCGCTTATTTTTAGCAAATACAAATTTTAAGCATAAGGAGAGACATCGTTTAACGTGGCGACCGCCTGCACCAAACCAACGATGGACTCAAATAGACCATATTGCCATCAGTCATCGTTGGAGAGGGTCGGTAGAAGATTGTCGCTCATTCTGGAGTACCTGCTTGGACTCCGACCACGCCCTAATACGGGCACGCATCTGCTTGCGCCTCACTGGACGCAAAAAAGCCACAGTAAAAAGACCCATTAGAACCGAACTGAGTAGCGAGGAAACCAAAAGTAGGTTCCAGGAACAACTGAGGTCATGGTTAGGCAGTTCTGAAGACGAGGCTGACCCAGATGTTGCTTGGAATGAAATACAAGCAGCTGTGGAAACAGCAGTGACATCTATTAGTGACTTAAACCACAGAGTTTCAAAGAACCAGTGGATTTCTTCAAAGTCTATCACGCTGATGGATTCTCGCAAACTCGTCCCATCAGGTTCTGAACATGATGAAGAGCGACAACAAATCAGATCTAGGTTAAGAAAAAGTCTAAGAAACGACCGTGAGCAGTGGTGGGCATCGAAAGCAAAAGAGATGGAAAAGGCGGCGACTATAGGGAACACAAGACAGCTTTACAGACTAATAAAAGACACTGGAATTAATAAGTCAAGTGTAAGTGAGATTATATCGAAAAAAGACGATACACTCATCTGCTCCCAGTCCAGGCGTTTAGAACGATGGGCGGAACATTTCAGAGAACAGTTCAGCTGGCCTTCAGCTTCTCTACAACTACCCTCCATTCCCAGACAATGTGAATGGAACATTGAAGTAGGTCCCCCAAGTCTTGCTGAAGTTCAAAAGGCTATAGTTAATCTGAAACGAGGGACGGTAGCTGGTCCAGATGGATTGGCTCCAGAAGTCTTTAAGGATGGTGGTCCAATTTTAGCGATTAGGTTGACTAATATTTTAGCTAAAATCTGGGAGTTAGACGTTATCCCATCTGACTGGTCGCAATCACTTATCGTCCCAATATATAAGAGAGGGTCAAAATCATCCTGTGACAACCATAGAGGGATTAGTTTAACTAATATAGTATCTAAAATACTAGCCTCGATAATTATCAGACGCCTAACTAAGACTCGTGAACTGAAACACGAGAGAACCAAGCTGGCTTTAGACCTGGTCGTGGCTGCATCGACCACATATTCACCATTCGTCAGATTCTAGAACACAGGCATACTTATCGACGTCCGACAATGGTGGTCTTTCTCGACTTAAAAGCAGCATTTGACTCGGTAAACCGCGAGATTCTGTGGCAGTGTCTGTCATTGAAAGGCGTACCCCAGAAGTACATAAACCTTGTAAAGGCTCTTTACTCGAACACTATTAGTCGAGTGAGAGCTTATGGCGAACTGTCATCTACTTTTGCAACCTCAAGTGGTGTCCGTCAAGGCTGTCCACTTTCTCCATTTTTGTTTAACTTCATCATAGATATTCTTATGGAAACAACGTTCTCGTCGACTGAATTTTCGGGCGTTCATCTCTTTTCATGAGGTCCACTTATCGACTTAGAATACGCAGATGATATAGTCCTGTTTGGTGAAGACACTAATAAAATGCAGAGTCTTCTGGTAGCACTAAGCAACAATGCCAGAATGTTTGGAATGCGCTTCTCTCCCTCGAAATGCAAGTTGTTGCTTCAGGACTGGTCTGCGTCAACACTTGAATTAAGGATGGGGAGTGAAGTAGTCGAACGCGTCGACAACTTCACTTATCTTGGAAGTGTGATCAGCCCTAATGGGTTGGTATCGGACGAAATCTCAGCACGGATTCGAAAAGCTCGTTTGGCTTTTGCCAACTTGCGTCACCTATGGCGAAGGCGAGATGTCCGTCTATCAATAAAAGGACGAGTATACTGCGCGGCAGTCCGTTCTGTTTTAATTTACGGCAGCGAAACATGGCCATTGAGAGTAGAAGACACTCGTAAGCTACTAGTATTTGACCACAGATGCCTCAGAAATATTGCTGGCGTCTGCTGGGATCACCGGGTAAGTAATAGTGAGGTTAGACGCAGGGTATTAGGGAATGATGGTAAATCAGTTGATGAGGTTATGAATCTTCATCGACTGAGATGGTTGGGCCACGTGTTACGTATGACTGAATACCGATTACCACGACGTGCAATGCTATCCGGTATTGGAGATAGTTGGAAGAAAGTTAGGGGCGGCCAAACCAAAACGTGGCATCAGTGCTTGAAGTCACTAACTCTTAGTCTGAGCCATGTTGGTAGATGCAGACTACTTGGTTGGGGTCCGCGTGACTATCGTAACCAATGGTTGGAGACTCTTGGTGACATGGCTCAGAATCGATCACAATGGCGTCGGTGTATACACTCTGTCTTCCCTTAAACTAAGATTAGAATTGCGTCATATCTTTCTTTCTGCGAACTAATTCTTTCTTCTTGTACTATATCTCTACATGCAATCTTTCTCTTACATGCTATGAATCCGGTGTTCATCTTGTTGTGCTCATGCGGTATGGCAACCTGGACCGATGCACATATGTGCCTGGTCCTACGTTGTAGCTGACTGACTGACTGACTTAGAGATCTTTGTTGCTATAAGTGACACCTAAGACAAAACGTAAATTCAAACTTTCTTGTTGATTCCTTCCAGTGATCTAACACTAAACTGTTAAGTGTATATTTACAAGAAATGTGTTTTATGAAATTTACGGATAATGTATATCTCATGATCAACTGATAGCTATAACTTGACTTATGATTATGTGTTTATAGGTTTTAATGAGTTATTTCTTCTAAGGTCAACATCTTCCTCATTTTTACCTATCTTGGGAGCACTACACCTATGTTTTTCTGTTGATCATAATGCTTTTACATTTTGTAATTCTTGTTTACTTGATGATCAGGTTGAACGAGCACTTACACAAAGTCAATCGACTATAGTAATCATGGATGCACCCAATTATATCAAGGGTTATAGATACGAATTATATTGCATGGCCAAATCTCATAAACATCAACAAATTGTTTTATTCAGTGATATCCCGCCTGAAATTTCGAAACATTGGAATTCGAAAGTGAATTTTAATTATTCTTGTTCACTACTTTGTTCATCTATCTTTTTATAATTATCATTGTTATTATTTAGATATGATAGTCAGTCTTTTAAACGTTCTCTTCAAAAATCCTGATCTTGTCATACCATGTGGATCTTCTATAAACCGGTTAGTTTATCAAAGATAATTAGCATACCACGAAACAGTAAGTTCTTGCAGATGTGAGAAAAGGTTAGAAGTGGTACGAAACCAAAACTAGGTCAGTATTCTCAAGATAAACTAAATTCGTCATTTTCTTACGTATGTTATTTTCAAGCTCCTCGTAAACACTTCTGAGTATCATTCTATCAAAAGTCAACGAAGAAAAATATAAACTTTGAAAATCCAATAGCATATTTAGTCCATCCACATCTCAAAGCCTCTTTTAACACATATATCACTCATACAGTATAGATAACCTTAAAATCCATCGTCATGCGTTGTACTATATAAGTAAGTACTACAACTAATACTTTCCTGTTAACTGCCTGAAAGTCGATCTGGATGTCCCGACCGTTGTTGCTACCTTGACGTGGTGGTCGGGCTTGCCTATCGTGATGAAGCAACCGAGCTATACTGGCTGGAACAACCGTTCCTCAAGGTCCTACCATGTCAGACAGGTCGGTTGAAGAGCGGTAAGACTAAAAGCAACAAACCCAAGGTCCTAAGGTGAAGTCGTACTGCTGACTGTACAGAGGTGTGACGGCAGTAAGGTGTTTCCTTCAGACAACCAGCATAACGGCGATGCTGCCTTCCCACAAGGAGGGGTGGGGTTAGAAAAGGTCGACCCTAAAAATGCACACCTCACCTTACCTCACGGATTTCCGTCTCCGGCGGTAAGACCCTTTTGAAGAACGGAGCTAACACGTCAAAAACCTTCCATGAAAAGGCCGTGCGCGACCGGCCTCAAGCAGTTGTCCCTTGGGCACTGCGGTCACGCTCTCAGGTCACTGAGACCACTTCTAATGCAATTTCCTTTTCAGGTACCTCCAGAAGAACCCTTCCACGGTGTGGGCAACCGGGAAATGATAACCGCCCGCATACCTCTAACAGCACGCAAGACCACTGTATTCATAATCAACCTTCCTCTTCCATTCCTATTATTCCTCCTACATCGACTTTCAACCCTAAACCTCCTCCTTCGGCTTCCTCCTCAAGTGTCACCATAGCCAACGATTCTAGTGCTCAAAACTCTGTCACAGGTCTACTGAAACCTCGCTCCAAACTACACATTGGAGCTTTCAACGTACGCACTCTATGTCAAATCGGTCAGCAGGCTTCCTTGGCTAAAACCCTAGAGTCTCTTTCCATTGATGTATTCTGTGTCTCCGAAACACGCATACAGGATTCCAGTGTGGTCATTCACTTGACCTCACCTCGGCAAAACGGAGAGCCAACGAGATACACCCTCCGTGTATCTGGTGACCCTATGGCCAGTTCTCGTGGACTGGCAGGTGTAGGCATAGCACTAAGCATGAGGGCGGAACAAGCACTGCTAGAGTGGATCCCCGTCAACAGTCGCCTATGTGCTGTTCGGCTAAACGGCTCCGTAAAAACTCGGAAGGATAAGGACACACGTCGTTGCCTTTTTGTCTTTTCTGCCTACGCTCCCACCGACTGCGGCTCAGATGAAATGAAAGATGAATTTTACAGAAAGCTGTCCGAAATTCTTCAGAAAGCTAAACGCTCAGATATAGTACTCGTAGGGGGTGACTTTAATGCTCAGATAGGTAGCTTAAACCAAACAGAATGGCATTTAGGTGGATATTTTAGTATTCCGGTACGACGAACAGATAATGGTGATCGCCTGCTGCAACTGTGCTCGGACAATCGTTTATTGTTAGCAAACACTAATTTTAAGCATAAGGAGAGACATCGTTTAACGTGGCGACCGCCTGCACCAAACCAACGATGGACTCAAATAGACCATATTGCCATCAGTCATCGTTGGAGAGGGTCGGTAGAAGATTGTCGCTCATTCTGGAGTCTGTCATTGAAAGGCGTACCTCAGAAGTACATAAACCTTGTGAAGGCTCTTTACTCGAACACTATTAGTTGAGTGAGAGCTTATGGCGAACTGTCATGTGCTTTTGCAACCTCAAGTGGTGTCCGTCAAGGCTGTCCACTTTCTCCATTTCTGTTTAACTTCATCATAGATCTACTGATGGAAATAACATTCTCGTCGACTGAGTTCTCGGGTATTGATCTCCTTCCAGGAGGCCCACTTATCGACTTAGAATACGCAGATGACATAGTCCTGTTTGGTGAAGACGCTGACAAAATGCAGTCTTTTAAAAGCACTAAGCAACAATGCCAGGATGTTTGGAATGCGCTTCTCTCCCTCGAAATGCAAGTTGTTGCTTCAGGACTGGTCTGCGTCAACACTTGAATTAAGGATGGGGAGTGAAGTAGTCGAACGCGTCGACAACTTCACTTATCTTGGAAGTGTGATCAGCCCTAATGGGTTGGTATCGGACGAAATCTCAGCACGGATTCGAAAAGCTCGTTTGGCTTTTGCCAACTTGCGTCACCTATGGCGAAGGCGAGATGTCCGTCTATCAATAAAAGGACGAGTATACTGCGCGGCAGTCCGTTCTGTTTTAATTTACGGCAGCGAAACATGGCCATTGAGAGTAGAAGACACTCGTAAGCTACTAGTATTTGACCACAGATGCCTCAGAAATATTGCTGGCGTCTGCTGGGATCACCGGGTAAGTAATAGTGAGGTTAGACGCAGGGTATTAGGGAATGATGGTAAATCAGTTGATGAGGTTATGAATCTTCATCGACTGAGATGGTTGGGTCACGTGTTACGTATGACTGAATACCGATTACCACGACGTGCAATGCTATCCGGTATTGGAGATAGTTGGAAGAAAGTTAGGGGCGGCCAAACCAAAACGTGGCATCAGTGCTTGAAGTCACTAACTCTTAGTCTGAGCCATGTTGGTAGATGCAGACTACTTGGTTGGGGTCCGCGTGACTATCGTAACCAATGGTTGGAGACTCTTGGTGACATGGCTCAGAATCGATCACAATGGCGTCGGTGTATACACTCTGTCTTCCCTTAAACTAAGAGACTAGAATCGCTTCATTTCTTTCTACGAATTAATTCTTTCTTCCTGTACTATATCCTTATTGTAATCTTTCTTTTATATATTACCACCTCTGAATTAACTACTTTTATGAATCCGGTGTCCATCTTTTTGTGTTAATGAGGTATGGCAACTTGGACCGATGCATATATGTGCCTGGTCCTACGTTGTAGCTGACTGACGATCCGGATGTTTTCCTTGAATCCATTAAACAGTTCTAATTTTTAGCTCATATGGTAGTTCACCGTAAATCTACTCTTTGCTACTAAAATATAATGACTTTATCTAATTATTACCAGCTAACGTGTGATTGCTATCACTGATTACCGGGAGAGACTAATTCACATTATTATTATTATTGTAAAATGTTTCAGTAGACTGTTATAACTTGTGACCGCCGATTAGAAAGCAGTGACTTATTGATCGGAACAATGACGCGCAAACCTGTATGAGCAGCCTAGAGTTCTGATTGATCCTGCTTTCCGCCTAGCCCAGCCAGTCAAGTCCAGAACACAAGTCTCAGCCTCTGCGGTATGAATCATGTATTTCAAACATACTCTGTTTATATACCAATCAAGCAGACTACATCGTACCATAAAATAGAAAATAACATTTGTACAATATTTGGCCAGCAGGAAAATGGCACGTGAAATAAATATTGACCAGTAGGGAAACGACACGTGAAATAAGTATTGACCAATAGGAAAATGATACCATTCCAAGTCCAAGGATAGCATTAGACTTAACAGGATAATTTTTAGGATATTTTTCTGAATATCCCAACATAGACAAATACCAACATGTTATTTATTGTTATGCTGGTGGTAACTATGAAAACATGTTTTCGATATTTTTACGGAATACTAATCAATTTATAATTCTTTGCTAAATTTTCATTATTAGATTAATCGGTATCCTGTTGATCTGCTTTCGGATATGATTAGCAGGTTTGAACGTCCTCAGTCTACACAGCGTTGGGATAACCCACTTATAACTATTGAACCTCATCTTTGGAACTCACCGAGCACTGATAATATGGAGTCAGTAATTATACAAATAAAACAGCTGCTAGACAACAGAGGCAAAGGAAAGATCCAACCAAACAAATCAACACAACTGACAATTATCTCATCATCTAACTACCTACAAGTAAGTTTATAAAAGCTCTCTTTTGGCACATTGAAGAAATATTTTTCAAGTCATAAACAAAGATACTACATTTCGGTATTGGTATTGGAAAAGGTGTCTGGTTAAACAATAACACACATCAGCATTTATCAATACAGTGTAGGGGTAGGTGCTGATTAATCACTTTCAGGTTAACAGAACTAGCCCAATAAGCGGTTTTCATTCACTTACAGTTGAAGCATTTTTTTAGTAGCCTGGCGTTCATCGACCTCAACACAAGTGGTTTTGACGTTAACTCTGAAAGTTTTACGTCTTATCGCTTTATTATAAATGTTTTGCAGGAAAAGTTGAACACTTTTTCTCATTTTACGAATCTCAATAATTACATGTTATGGCATTCTTAGTAATAAAAAACTCATCGTTTATTAAAATCGACTTATGATACCTGTTAAGCAATATATTGAATTCGTAAAAGCATATATTTTCTACCATGCTCTTATTTGCAACATATTGAATTTCAGAATCTGGAGCATATCACGCAGCAAGTCGTAGATCATGTCCTTCGAAGTCAAACCAGTGGTCTTTCATCAGTCGATCTCCCTATGTGTTTCCAAAACGAGCATAACCGAGATGTAGTTCTTCAAATTGCCAACTCCGAAACTAAATACACGATTGGCAACCTTATACGACTTAAACGCCGATATATTGCGGTACAACGATTAAAATTTGATCAGTTAAATACAGTTTCGGATGATGCTTCGATTGCAACAAACTTTTTGCAGTTTATTTCGTTCAATGGGGATTTATGTGATGATGAAGCCAGTTAGAAAGTGACAAAAACTTATAAAGACAAGAATCACAAGTGATATTGTCATGTAACATAATATATTTTTTTATCGTTTGTCACACTGCTCTACAATGGGTCTTTTGTAACGATTTACAACATTGAATAGTGTATTTCAGAAATATGAAAATCGTATTTCTAAACTACACAGATATAAAATTAGAAAAACCCTATGAGCTACATTGAGACAAATACTAAGAATAAACAGTAGGAAAACTATATTCATTTTAAATGGCTACCCTAGCTACATTAACAGAGCAGTTTACCATATGGATATATTTGCCAAGTGTGGACGTTTGTGTAAAGGCTCGTAATACATACTCCCCGACTATCCAAACCAGAGTAAGTTGATTAAAGTCAAAATTTACAGTCAACTGGTTGAGTGCCTTGAAATGACACCTCACTTAGCTTCATGAAGTTATGATTTGAAAGGTATGAAGCTAGCACAATAAAAGAGTTGCGATTTTTGTAGCCAGGTTCCTAGGTTGATAAAAGCGTTACCACCATCTATCAAGAAGTTTCCTCTGAAGATGTATGGAACCGAGAAGTGTCAAGCACCTCCATACGTCTCTAACAGTGCTCAAATGAACATTATTCACAAGACCGTGTTCTCACCTCCGTATGTTTTTTCCACCCCTCTTCTGGCTCCGCCTTCTTCACATTCAAACATTGCTAACGATCCTATAATACGAAATATTTCCCCTGTCTTCCAAACAACGCTGTCCGAAACCTGTGTCAATTGAAGAACTTCACGAAGACTCTCGTGATACTGATACGAACTGTGTTTGTAACCCGAGATATGGAGCCAACGAGAATCATCCTTCGCGTAATGGGATATTCGACAAGTTTCGTCACATGTCACATAAAAATTATACTTTCTTCGACTATTTACGAATCGATCTCTATCTTCATAACTTATTGGAGATAGCAATTTTTCTAGTAAGAACGAAAAAACTGCATTGAAAATCTTTCTATCCTCCAAGTACAGTGTTGTTTCGAGAGGGATGTGTCAGCGTATAAAATGGCCTGTAGGATCAACCGCTTTACTTATTGTTATCCCTGATAAGTTGTTAACAGACGTATTTTAAAAAATTTCATTTGCTCTTTGCCCATATTAGGACCAGTATATTGCCCAGAAATCCTTATTTTCTAAAACTCTGAAACGCCATTTGTATTCGGTCAATATGTGGGATTTGCTTCAATAGAAGCATGACTTACATGAAGTAGAACAAGTGCGCAATCCTGGGGTTCGATTTAGTATACTAGGCGAGAATAATAATCAGTTGACGAGAGGTAGAATCTTCATTGGATAGAATAGCTGGAATGTTACATATACTTAATCACCGCCTATCTCGACGATAGTTATATACTTTCAATGACATCCTAAGAAAGTGGTCTGTCTCTCGTTTTCAAATAAACCAGCGAATGAGTTACCTGAGTGCTGCAGTTATATTCATTCTAACATGATCTGTCATACTTTTCATTCTTTGATCTCACTTGTTATCTAGATCACAGTCCTCACGTTCAGCTCTCATTTCATTTGATCCTATTTAACCTCTGTTCATCATCTTTTTACTCTTCTCGCCATGATGATGTGAATTGCGACTTGTGCCAGATCCTACGTCGATTAACTACTATGCAATCGTTTCACAGATAATTGTGTAGGAGTTTGTTTTTTAAGATTTTGGTGAAATTAGCCTAGATGATGTCTGTCTCGTTCCCGAAACTTTTTAAACTCGTATCTGAACATCGAAATAAACGAAACATATATCGCAATGATGGGCAGTTATATGTCAATTTAGCTAATGTTGATAAACGTATAGGTGAATTCATTGAACTTCCCTATTTATTCGAATGTTGTAACTGTTTCGATACTTTTTATATTTACTAGTAATAAACAAAAAAGGTTGGAACACATACTATAATGATTATAAAGTAAAAAAAGAAAAGGGCGAAATTCGAATTATTCAAACTGTGATATAATAAGTTTACATGCGTGCCCATCTAACTTGAGACGATCAGTAAATATTAATATTTAGATAATAATGGTGGTATATTCAACAACAGACTGGTCAGTAAATATATATATATATATATATATATATATATATATATATATATATGATTTAATGAAATGTGGAAAAAAGTAAAGGATTTCCCTATAAATGTAAGTAAGTGGGCATTGTCATTGATATAGTGTTACTAATATCATTATATATCTGAAGAAATGGCAACTACTCATATGATGTATATATGTGACAAAAAAAATAAGTGCAACAATTGTTAATTACTTGATGAAAAGAAATATACATTACAGATGAGAAGTAAAAAAAAACAGTTCTTCAGAAAAGATTCACGTTCAAAAAGTGTCTGCCTTGTTTTGTCAGTTGGCAGTAAAAGTAAATTTTAAGTGGGTAAGTAAATAAAAACGGGGACCCAGATTAATTATGTATTCTACGTACCTCTACCAATGAATATTTATTTAAATAATAATCTTCCAGACATTCTAAAGGATAGTAATGAATGTAGCAAGAAAACTAGTACATCAAAGTAACTTTTAATTTCAGCTTGTGAAATACCAAACTGTTAATATTATAACATAATTATCTGTATTTAAGTAAAAGAGATATACATTGAATTATTCTTGTCTCATGTTTAATAGTTAAATTTGTGTTACTGTGTTCCCTCTTTCCATAAATGTCCACTTGACCAAACAACTTGAGACAGAGTTTGTTAGAGTAAGGAAGTAAATTTTATAAGCTATATAACCTGAGGCTGTATATAACATGATAAAGTAGAAAAAAAGATTTCACAGTAAAGTTTGGTTTCGGTTTGTATATTTTTTTCTAAAAAAAACGAAGTAGCAGAAGAGAGAAAACCTAAACAATTTTGCTTTTAGATCATCTAAAAACAGCCTCTAACTGAGAACTACGGGGGAAGATAGAGGAAGAAATGTCCAGATCATTCATTTCTTATCATAAAATGAGCGTAAAAGTCCAATTTTGTTACACAAGTGTAATAGCAATCAACATTTGATGAGATTCATTCAAACTAATTTATTGTCCGCAAATCAACCTCTTCGTGTATTGAATTCTTTACGACGAAATCCCTGTTAAAGAATTTTTAAAAACACTTATTAGAAGACTGAATGGTATGCGAAAATTCAGTGTTCAGTTAGCATGGCATATATATTTAAGACATCAGTGATCTTTTTAAAATCTAAACACAGATATTTACTTTACAATTCCTATACATATATATATAAACATCCTGAAAATATTTTGAAACCTTATGTACCCAAGAGTTTCGAGTCACAGTATTTGAGATGTTCTCAAGATGAGTTAGCTGTGCTGGTGTAGGCCTCCCCAGTAGTGTTATAAACACCAATATAACAACACGGAGTATTTTTGAACACTCATAGTGTTTTGTGTTTTTTTTTTCAGTGATAAAATAGATGGTTATCAAAACTTATCATTAATATTTGATTGCTAACGTTTGACTTAGATTGTGGAAATACTCGCCTTCAAAAACCACGTTGAGATTGTTGCTTCCCTTATTATAAGATCCAGTACAAACATTTCTCAAGATAAAGCTTTCGGCAAAATGTTTTTTTATACATTTTTTGACTGCAATGTGGAGATTAGGGCGTCACGGCTTACATAAGCACTCAATTATGAAATGAATATTCTCGTCTAAACGGAGTGATAAGCTTTTCATTTATGAGCTCACAGAGACCGTTCGATTGATAGTTTAGTCACGACACGGCAATACACCAAAGAATTCTAAGGAAACACAACCATGAGAAGAAAATGAATTAACAAAAATATTTTAAACAATAGGGATATGACTGAATATAGACGAACCTAAGTTAAAAGCATATTTATTTATTTAAACACATAAACATTGGTACAAGGAGGCACCAAACAGATATGCACCACATAAATCATTCAATATATGTGAGGGCTGGGATACTCCCCGGGTGTCCAGACTGGAGGTGATTTTCTCAGGAGGCCACACCCCGAGCCTTTGATTTAAAGGTCTGATCCACAAGGCAATAGAGCAACGTCAGGAGATGCAGTCCTATGGCCAACCGGTGACCAAAATTTGTTTCCTTAGGATCCTGGAGCCCATGTGTACTATTGTTTTGGAATAAGGGTTTTCCAACTCATCTATATGGACTCTTTGTGTCTACCGACCCGGTTAAAGCGCCGGACACTCGCTTTTCATCTTCTGAATTTCGTAAACAACACCCCTGCCGCGATGAGGCAGTGGCAAATGGTGATTCACTAATCCAAACCGGAGCTTATAACCATGTAAACACACTTACAATGAAAACTTTGAGATATCTTTTTGTGATTTCTTCAACAGATACATTATGATAAACAGTGGGCCGGTAGTCGAGAACTCTAAACTGTTCAGTTCGGAGACTAAATTACTTGGTTTTTGTTAAAGCCCGTTTCCGTCCATTTCCCACAACGTAGTATGACCAAGTAAAATTTCACGTACGAAGCTCTAGAACATGACTATGTATGTAATGGATGAAAGAAAATGGTCTAAAAATTCCAACATTAACTCTAGTGAGTTAGGGATGATCGACACACTTCTGATATTTCAAAGATAAATATGTTAAGTCAAGGTCACGATCATTTTAGCAACCTAGTGAAACATTATATGTCCCTGGAAGAATTCGGATTAATTGTTTATTCATCTAGTCGAGCTTAAAGCTGCGATATTTTTAGAAAACCAGTAGTTACACAAAAAACATTTGTCATAAACAGAGATAAGGTTATAAAAATATAGCAAGTAAGAATTTCTTGGGTGAAGTAACTTACTGATAAAAATAATCTAACTTACCTCTTGTCTTTCTCGTTGATCATAATAAAAGAAATCGTCGAAAATAGACAATGTATGTGAATATGTGGCAAGTACTTCCATTACTTGTTTACCTCGTTCTAAAGGAAGTTCTGTAGTATCGCGAGAGTGAGTTACTGGTTTATTATCATTTGTCTCAATGCGAATATGTCTCAATGCCGTATTAGGAACATCTTTTACAAATATCCATCGAACCGAAAATTTACCTTGCCATTTATCTTGAGCCCAAACACTAGCTCTAGCATTATAGTCAACACGAGAAACCATTTCAGCCATCCCACAAAAATGTCCAGACCCATTGACTGAAAAAAATAAATATATTGGATAGGCATGATTGGCCTCAGCAAACGCTGTGTCAAGCTTCTTGTTGCCTAGTTCTGTTGAACACCAGATAGAATACTTAATAGAACGATGGATATCATCTTCGGAAAATGACTTGATTACAAAGAATCTGGCCTTTTCTATGTGTGTGTCGAAATCATTGGGGTTAATTACCTTAGCCAAACGTTGGTGCAGCGCTTCCGACTCACGTTGAAAAGCTTGTGCAGATCCATCTGAGGTTAGTAGGGATGTTGAATTATCTGCAGCATGGTTACCATTATTCGAAGTACTCTTTAGCTCAGAATTAGATTCCGCCAAAGAACGAACATTTCCTGACTGGTCCGCAGTATTAACTCTGTCTTGTTGTGTTAAATGCCCATTATTACACGAAGCATTTGCCATCAAAGAATTAACCCTACCAACTGAATAGTTCCCAGTAGAAGTTTGAAAAGACCTGTTAACAGCTGTTGGATTGTGAGGATGAGATCTTTTCGCTGACCATCCTACAGAGTTTTGAATAACTGCAGCTGACCCTTTGGGTGGTTGTCCTGCTATATTAGCCCAAGTTTTTGTACGTGATGAACTATTGACAGATGTAGCAATAACTGATGGTGCAGGTCTGTTACTCGCTGAAGTAGATAACCTGCTTGCTGGATAAGTACTTGGATTGGATTGTGATCTGGATAAATTATCGGACTTATCCATAGAACACATGCTATTACTAATCTAAAAAAATAAAAAAGTTCACATATTTCCCAGTAATATATTTAAATGTATATGTTAGCAAATAAATTGACTATGTACATATTTGGCGTTTACCTATCAAGTAATAAGTTCAAATTGATTTATTCATAATTAGCCGATTTTCACATTTAAATGATACAACGAAATAAGTGAAGTTAATTTCAAGTTAAATTCTAATTCCCAACTGAGTAAATATACACAAACCTACAAAACGTTTAGTCACACTATTAATGTTTTTAGTTATGTTGTAAAAACTACCACTAATTTAAAGTTACTTGATGTATATTTAAAAGTAAAAAGTAATCGTTGCTTTACTCAGTCATATGCAACGGATCACATTAGCACGGTGAGAGACCATCAGAACAAATCACAGAATATTAGAGGCAGTAACTGTACTAGTGGTAATAGAAAAGATCAGGCATCGAAGATACGATTCAAGAATATGTAGACTAACCTAATGAAAATAAAAATATTATACAGTAATCCGGAAACTTAGGATCTGAGGGAAAACAAATAGTGAGTGCGCCTATGCCATTCCAAATCACTGAAAGCAATATTACCCCTTGCTTACGAAACTCTGTGAACCCCAGCAAGGTATTCTGCATCTACTTACATAGCTAAATCCAATTGCTAGTGTCTTTATAGGCTGATGCCAAGTCTTGGTTTGGCTGCCTATAGCTTTCTTCCAACCTACGCCACGCATCATCGAATATCGAGGTAATCGGTTGACGGGCGTACGTAGCACGTGTTTCAACCAACTCAGTTAAAGATTCATTACCTCACTAATTAATTTGCCATCTTCACCTACAATCCTGCATCTAGCTCCGTGGTCCTAACAAATATGAGTAATGCTTTCAAGGCATTTGTGGTCGAATACTAGTAAACTAAGAATATCCCCTAACTTTAAAGTAGAATAGAGTGAACAGCCGCGCCGTTTGGGTGTAAAAGATTATATTTTATGGACATGATTTTAAAAACCTGAAAACAATAATAAGAGGATTTTCATGGGTCCCTGATGTGTCAGCTTCACATTTGAAGTCTGTCAAATCAAAAAGCGCGAATTGGTGACTATAAAACCATATGCAGAATATATGGAACTGTATTGACTTACTCCGTTACTTTCTTTCATATGAGACCATTGTGTCACTGAAGTATTATGTAACTGAACATTACTTCCGTTCCCAACAACTGAGGTTTCATAAAACGGGACATGCAACTGATTTAGCCCATTATCACTACAAGTTGCTGTTTCGACACCACATCCAACATTTAGTCGACCGAATTCATCGATCAGATGTTGTGAGATTGTTTGGCACTGATTTACTGAAGCATAGGGATCCAACATATTAGCAGCACTACCAGGCAATCCATTTACAAGATGTGACTGAGGTCCTTGAGATGAAAACGGATAGGCAGCTTTTGAATTCGGATGATGGTAGATGAATGAAACACCAGGGTCTTCAGTAGTACATTGTTGTTGTTGCTGAGAATAGGATGCAGGTGGCGCGAAAACAGTATCTCCCATATTCGATGATGTATAATATGTATGTGGGTCTTTAGATGACATATTTGCTTCGGATGGACCTTGACTAAAGTGACTGATTGCATCATTTTCACCACAAGGTGACAGTGTTAATTGTTGACCATTTGAAGCCCAGCCCTCAAAAGGAACGACTGCACCAGTAGGTCTGTCTATAAATGAAGAGTTTGGATAGTGAGTTGGAGGAACAGTGAAAGGCCAATTAGGTAGGTTACCAAGAAGCCCATTAAGTTGGTTAGCATTAGTAACAGATGGTCTTGTGGAAGAACCAAAGTACATTGTTGTGAAATCAGCTGCTCTATTATTCATTGAGGGATTAGGTAAGAAAGACCGACCTGTTTGGCCAGAAACGGCATTTGCAGCACCCTGAGGAAGTGGATAAGCTGCAGCTGCTGCTGCAGCAACTGCAGCCAACAAAGTTGCAGCATAAGGTGACGATAAAGAACTGGATGGAATATTACAAGACTCGGATAAATCCCCAGAATTTGAGCAAGCTGCCATTGATGGATGTGTACGCATATTATTTATCATGTTTGAAACAGCGTTATAACCATCAGTATTAGACCAATCGTTTCTTCCAGAAGCCACTGCTGCTAAGGCTGCAGCGGCAGCCGCCGCAGCTGCATTTTCTGCATTTGGGGTTGTAGCTGAGTTTACTCCATTGCCCTCACCCATTCCATAAGACAAGTGCGAGAAAAGTGTCCCATAGTAAGCGTCCGCTGAATTATTGATACCATATATATTCTACAAAACACATTTACAAATATCACAAAAATGCTTTAAATAATCAGTTAGATCAAAATGATTCACAAAGTCACCTAGTCTATACCCTAAATATAACTTGATCAGATAGTTATGATTAGTGAGGAAACGATTTATTCTAAATCTAAACTAACGCTTTAAAAAATGTAAAATGAAGCCAAAAAATTTCTGATTAAATGCTTTATGTTCTGTGTTATATCCGAGTGGAGATTAAACCACAGGTAAATTCCAAGGACTACTAATGGACTAATATTCTATAAATATTCTTATTGTATAACTACTCAACAATTACACTATGTATATTTATATTCCTTTTATGATAAGCTTTATTTTGACCTATAATTTATTATTATACGATTTACGGTTCTTAATCTGTGCTCAGTCTATTATTAACTGTCCCCCTCGTTCACAGCCACTTTTTGGGCTTATTTGTGTACAAATATTATTTCCTATTTTATGGTACGTTGCGGTCTGTCTGATTGATATATAAACCAAGTATGTCTGAAATAAACGATCTGGTCTGATCTGCTCTGATTCGGAAGCTGGTATTTTGTTCTGGACTCAAGTGGAAGGGCTCGTAGGACATAGGACCAATAAGGACGCTAAACTGCCCACACCGGTTGAACGTCATTGGTTGGCCTAGTGTGAAGATTCGTATAAGTCGTATTCGGATTGGTAGATAAAGCGCGTGATAGCAAAATCAGACATACAAAGTCATAACAATTGGCGACGGGGATTTTGGCAACAAAGAAATAATAATAATACAAGTGGTGACTCAGATTTTGGAAATAAATTAGCTGTATAATTGCCGGTGATTTTTGGAGCTAATATTATTGGCAAAAAAAATGTCGATTTCTTTCGAAGAGTTGCGGTTAATATTACAGCACCAGCAGATGTTGGCCTTGCAACAACAGCTATTTGTAACAGTTTTGGGCAGACTTTGCATTCAAGCAGAAAATAAGGAATCTATATATCATGCAGATAATGGTGCAGTAATGGACATTTCAGAAGCATATCCTGTGCAGGGTTCAAATCCCTCTATACCAGAAGGAAAACGTAATATTGGTAACGTGTCCAGCTCAGAGCAAGAAAATATTGTGCTAAATGCACATGAAGTTGTGACAATACCAGATGATCAGGAGCCAGATCCTGTAGATGATGCCCAGAGTCCAGAATCAAATGAAACACTACTGGTACTGTCTAGCTGCGAAAATAGACGTCAGCTCGAACAAAACTGTGGTCCACGTGCTATTAGTCGAGAAAGCTATGGTTTTTATTTTATTTTATAAATATACATAGTGTAATTGTTGAGTAGTTATACAATAAGAATATTTATAGAATATTAGTCCATTAGTAGTCCTTGGAATTTACCTGTGGTTTAATCTCCACTCGGATATAACATTCTGTTTACAAATTCCAACTAAAAGATCTCGTCTCTTGATCAAGATACCCAAGTATTAGACAGCAAACGAAACTCGGCAACAGTGTAAAACTAAATGGTTTAGATAATGTACCAAACCTACTGGATGAAGACATGATACTAGTCGACTACTCATATTTCATCAAAAGCAGAGGAATGAACCTGTAACTTGTCAGTTGAAGCTAGTCTAAATTAACAGCCCGAAACTAAATAGCCAAGCATTAAACGGCTTAAAAATTAACACTTGTTTTTAAATTCCTAAAATTTTTCACTAAGGGACTTTATTTGATTATTAGAACATCGTTTCTGAACGCATCTAAACGTAAAAACGAAAATAAAATAGTGGAGTTAGATGCTTATTTTTAGGACAAACAAAATGATATTAATACTCAAAAGAACTTTATGCACATAATCCAGAAGCTAATGGCTCCTTATGGCGGTGAGTAGTTCCTCCATATAAGTAATTTCCCAACGATCTTAGAGAAAATGTTTACATTTTATGTTGCGTATGTCACAGTAAACAATTATTGCTATATTTAACTGTGATAAACCTAATCTGTTAATACTACCTGTTATGACCAGTGTTCCCAGATATAAACCTCACTATTTTAGAGCGATTTAGTTATCTAGCTTACCTACAACTCTAGGTAGGCAACACATGGTGAATTATCCATTAAACGACGTATCAGAGACACACTGTTTTAAATGATAGGGTTGGTAGTTTAGTTTTAAGTGAGCATATATACTTTTTGTTTCCTACATGATAACAGCCTACAAATGCTTCTCGTAAAGAATTGAGGCCTTCAACAATGCTGAGCCAAAGCATAAACTATTGAGGAAGTTTGTATGAACCAAACAGTTAAATAAAATGGCGAATTCACTGAAATGAGATCTTGCTATGTAATTCATAATCGTGGAGAAAATTATTCTTTATCCACTTCATCAACAATCGAGAAGTCATTTGAGCTACAAAACTTTGTTTAGCGTTTTGAGAACGAATTACATGGTCCCATCTGAGTAAAAGCACCAAATAAATATTCTATTCATTGGGATATCTTACTGTCCATAAAGAATATAACAAAAAATAACAATAGTAACGCTGACTTTTGCTTCGACAACAAAATGTGGGGGGGCGTTAATTATTGCCAACGTACGATCTGGCACGAACGTGCAACAGTCCACATTATTATGTTTCCTCAGCACATGGAAATAAAACTTGAAAATACGATGACCAAAAAGTAAATAATGTCAAATGTAATCGAAAGCCAAACATGAGAAATGCAACTCAAGCAGAGCAAATGTAGTTAGTCAGTAAAAAACATGGAAAAACGTGAGGATATAGAATGAACTACGGTAATAGGGTAACTCATTTACGGAATACAGACTTATGTACTTGATTTAAAGCCGCACATTTTGTGCGGAGAGTAATGTTACTATCTGTCTGGTTATATCGAAGTAGATGGAATAGCATCCAAACTTGTTACACCTGACTGAAAAAAAGAAGTGAGCTAAATACTAAGTCATAGCAATCATTTGGAGATAATGATGACTGAACAGACTTGTTATATTGATATGATGGGATGAAAAGTCAAAATTAGATTGATTAACTTAGTATGATTTTTATTCACCATTAATTCCGTTCTAATTCAATGTGATGATTACTCAGTATAGTATTTATTTTGTTTTCCCGTATGACATTTTATTCTGTATAACATACGATATTCTTGTATGAATTATTTTTCGTATGTGATTTATTCTGATTATTAATCAAAAACGGGTGTATGAATCAATATATAAATGAGTGCATTTCTGACTAGACTCGTCGTGGTTGTTCGTGCTTCTGGCTGCTTGTGGAATATATTTCCCTCTTCCGAACTTGGACTTCTCTCTCTAGTTAGCTGAGTTGGGACTCGTCGGGATAGCTAGCTTATCTGTCATTGTCCCTGTCTTCGTTCCGTTCTCCAATTAGGTGAACTCGTAATCGCTCCAAACATAGTATATATATAGTTTGTTTAGGCAAGGTTTTGCAAGCAAACAGCAGAACTACTCGTAACGTTATATATTGTCTTTTACAGAAAGACTAACGCCACAATAGTGCTAGTTTATGAATTCACCAAATAAACTCAGGTAATACATTAAACAGTCAGAAATCAACTCAGATTTCCATCGGTTACAAATACATAAATACCGTTTTGGTCAGGAATACAATAGAAACCCAAGTTGACGTATCATGTTAAAACGGGAAATGGAAGTAATATAAAAAGTGAACAAATAAAAATAATGTATTAGCAATGATAATGAGACTACAGCTAAAAAACATGATGTAAATGCACGGATGAATAATAAGTTTCAAAATCTACAGCAAGACAAATAGTGTAACCATCTGTGCTATCGTGACTGATGCTAAACTGCTACCCGTTCCCAACCACGGTAATTTACACACGAACCCCAACAAAGTAATCCGCAATTACAAAAATGCCTCAAACAGTCGATAACTCAACGAACTGAAAACCACAACCGTAGCTGCCACCTTGACGTAGTGGTCGCGTTTTCATATCGTGGTGACCCAAATGAGTTATACTGACTGGAACACTTGCATTCTAATGTTTTACCGTAACTAAACAGGTCTGTTGAACAGATGTCAGACTGAAGCCAACAAACTTATCGAATCGAGCTAGCTTCTAGGCTAGCTACCATTCCACCGAAAATTATAGATGAGCGTTGATTGCAATTGCATGACGCCATGAAAATGGCGGGTACAGTCAGTTGTGGGTTTGCGAAACGTCCCGCTTTTAAGCACTGGGTTTCTGCAGGTTCCTTACAACTCATCGAAGCCCGTCGGTCTACTTCGGGTGACCGTGAGTTTGACCACAAACGAAGAATGTTACGTAAGGAAATTGGGCAAAGCTTGCGTAAGGACCGAGAAGCCTGGTGGTCGAAGCGTGCTAATGAGCTGGAAGCAGCAGCTGCATCTGGTAACTACCGGAAGCTCTCCCAACTCATCCGAGCCACTGGCAGCAAGAAGTCTGGTGTGAGTGAAACAATCTGCGAGGATGACAGGATGCCAATCACTAACATCCATCGACGTCTTGGTCGACGGGCAGAATTCTTCGAAGGGCAGTTCAAATGCCCCGCTGCTCCAGCAGCATCGGTCAGACTGTCCTGCCCTCCATGGCCGGTGACGACTGATCCACCAAATGAGGCGGAAGTCCGCAAGGAACTCCAACTCTTGAAGCGCTACAAATCACCTGGTCCAGATGACTTACATCCGACTCTTTTGAAAGATGGTGGTGACTTTTTGACTAAGGGACTGACGACGCTGTTTACAAAGGTCTGTGAACTAGAGAGTGTACCAACGTCATGGAGTGAGTCGATAGTTGTCCCTATCTTTAAAAAGGGTTCATGTCGTTCCTGTAACAACTATCGGGGGATAAGTCTACTTCCGATTGCGTCCAAGCTACTGGCTTCCGTCATACATCGTAGGTTGTTCAAAACCCGAGAAATATTGACTCGCGAGGAGCAGGCTGGTTTTCATTCTGGTCGAGGATGTATTGATCATATCTTCACCCTCCGCCAAATGTTAGAACACCGTCATACTTATCAAAGGCCAACAATCTTAGTATTGCTTGACATCAGGGCTGCCTTCGATTCGTTGGACAGGACTGTTCTCTGGGATTGTCTATTGAAGAAGGGTGTGCCTGAGAAGTTTATTAACATCTTAAAGGCCCTATATACAAACACCTCAGGTAGAGTGTGGGCATACAACCACCTCTCTCTATTGTTCCATTCGAGCAGTGGGGTTAGACAGGGTTGCCCAATCTCACCACTCCTCTTCAACTTTGCCATCGATGACATTCTGGAAACAACTCTGATGGATGTAGGTAATGGTGGTGTGGATCTGTTGCCTGGAGAAAGACTTCTCGACCTTGAGTATGCGAATGACATTGTCTTACTGTGCGATAATGCTCAAGCCATGCAATCCGCACTTAATCAGTTGGCAATCAATGTCCGTAGGTATGGTATGTGCTTCGCACCTTCGAAGTGCAAAGTACTTCCACAAGACTGGTAGGATTCTAATCCTGTACTCACCCTGGATGGTGAGCAGATAGTAGTCGAGAAGTTCGTGTATCTGGGTAGCTGCATAAGTGCTGGTGGGGGTGTGAGTGATGAGATCAATGTACGTATAGTGAAAGCCAGAGCGGCTTATGCCAATCTGGGCCATCTTTGGCGCCTTCGTGATGTCAGTCTGGCTGTAAAAGATCGGATCTACAACGCGTCGGTGAGAGCAGTTTCGCTCTATGCTTGTGAATCCTGGTCTCTCCGAGTTGAGAACGTTAGACGACTATCTGTGTTCGATCATCGTTGTCTCCGAAGGATTGCTGACATCCAGTGGCAACACCATGTCAGTAGTAATGCAGAGGTTCGGCATCTTGTGATCGGGCACAGAGACGATAATGCAATTAGTGTCACCATCTTGAAACATCGACTTCGGTGGCTTGGACATGTTCTACGAGTCGTCCCAGAGAATTCCACGTCGTGCATTATTTGCCGACTCTGGGACTGGTTGGAGAAAGCGGAGAGGTGGTCAGTATATGACACGGTGTCGTGGTATGAAAGAAAGTTGCAAAGGGCTGGCTTCTGTTGGTCCTTCACGACTCCCTGGTTGGGGTCCTAGAGATGTTGCGACACTGGCTAGAGACGTCAGAAATGGCTCAGAATAGAAGCCAGTAGCAGTACTGCATTAGCTTTTCCTTACTTAATATAAGTGACAAGAACTTTAACTGAGGTTCTTTTTGGTTGTCTTCTGAACTTAGCTGCTGCTCCCGCCATACATTACTCTCGTTCGCTTTACTAATTTGTTGATTATACCCCCTCGCATAATTCTTTATGATCTTTTTCATACTGCCCAAATTTACCTTGGTACTCGTTTGTACTGATGTTTATGTGCCTAAGTAAATAAACAACGAACAGATTTCCAGTCATCTGCGCCAGTTGTTCAGTAGGAGACTAATACAGCTTCTACTGACCAAAGAGGCTATTAAGTGTTTTTTCACCTCATGGTTTTATGAAATGCTAATTACATAAAACAAAAATACAAGATACTATTGAAACACGAGCTCATTTATGGATCTCGAATAGTAAGTTACTCTTCATATTATCATTAACCTTGTGGCCAAAATGATCATAGCCGAGGCCTTGTGTCAAAGTTTTGAATACGACTGAGAGACCAGTGAATTAAGAAAAATATTATACACAAAGATGTCATACTACAGAACCACGTTATTATACCGGATCTGAACGGCTAGCGAGAATAATACATTCATTGGTACACCTTGATATATATATATATATATATATATATATATATATATATATATATATATATATATATATATATATATATATATATATATATCAAGGAGATTGCAGCTTAATTGTGGGTTATTTATTGACCGCAAACGTATTTACGCATCACTGAGTCGCGTCTGTCTAATTAGTACTCGAAAAGAGATTCTAAAGGTGAAACAATCCATTTTTATAATATGTGCGAGTATCAGAAATTGATGTGGGTTTTTTAGACGCACTTCAGCTCGATTACCATTTACTTAACTTACAAAACCTACTTCATTAATCCTCCTAATGACATTTTGTCCCATAAGATACCCATAGTTTTTCGGATTAAAAACTTACAGAATAAGGTGAAAGTGAATTATCCAGTAAACAACAAACTACCTGGGGCGTATTCGACATATTTCGCGCGGACAAATTTCCCACGTGCTCAGCTGTAGGGGTAGATTAAACACAATTTGTAACCATGATCATCTATGACTTCACAAAAATGTATGTCCATCAATTATACTGCAAGTTATATTGGAAACAAATCTTTAGTTTTATGGATTCATGTCATACTGCCGTTTCGGGTCGTGATTTATCACATCTCTGATTTCAAATACTTGAAATTGTCCAAATGGTTGTGGACGGAATAGAAAAAGCTTTCGCTTAACGGGCTTCCGTATTTAGTAGCAGTGAATCAACAAAACCTCCAGGCAGGAACCTAGGTATATTAACGGTAATAGAGAAAAAAAAGAAACTGGTAAATCATAATAAGATGTTATCCTTAGTCCTTAAGAATAGGTTGAGTTTCCTCTTAAAGGACTCCTGGAAAGTCGCTTGAACTAGTTCAGTCGGCAGCAAATTCCAGCATTTGACAACTCTTAAAGAAAAAAAGTTGTGTCTACAGTTTGTCCTGCTGTATTGTGTCTCCTGTTTCTGGGTGTTACCATATAGTTTTGTATCGGGACTAAGCTTAAGTAGGTGTTTAAAGGGATGTCCTGAAGAGCTAAGGATACTGTAAGCCATCAAAAGGTCGCTTCTAAGACGCCTATACTCTAATGGGTAAATGTTAAGTGATTTGAGGCGCTCTTCATAAAGTATAAATTTGAGTCCTCGGACTGATTTCGTGGCTCGCCGTTGGATATGCTCCAGAGTGTCCTTATCCTTTTGGAGTGAGGGAGGAAGTACTACGTTTCCGTACTCTAAATGGGGACGAATAAAAGTGTTGAAGATTATGTAGAAAGTTTTTATGTCAAACTGGCCAAGAATGCGCTTCAATGTTATCAGTGCAGGGTTTGCTTGATAGGCATTTCTGTCACAGCGTAGGACTTTAAATCGTAGGGTATCAGGACTCCCAAATCTTTTTCGACTCGAGATAATAATAGACGGGAGTTTCCTAAGTTGTAATTGTAGTCCGCAACATGTTGCAGATGGACTACTTCACACTTTGGAGTGTTAAAGGTAAGTCCGTTATCGTCTGCCCAACTTTGAAGTCGGGTCAGATCCCCCTGAAGTGCCATTATATCGTCTTGGTTACGCATTTCTCTCCAAAGTTGCACGTCATCAGCAAAAAGTAATAGGTCTGACGATACCTGTCGTGGAAGATCATTTATATAAACCAAGAAGAGAAGAGGTCATAGTACGTAGCCCTAGGGAACTCCACTAGGACATTCCATAGCCTGCGATAAAGTGAAATTAACCCTGAACATAAAATGTCGATGTTTTAGGTATAAAGTGAGCCAATCGATTAGGGGTGGTCTGATACACAATCGTTTGAGCTTATTGATAAAACATGTATGGTTAACCTAATCAAAAGCTTTTGAGAAATCAAGGTAAATGATATCAACCTTACCCTTGCGATCAAGGATGCCCGTCCATCTGTCCACTGCAGTCAGCAGGTTGGTTTTACAAGAGTAACCCTTCCTGAAACCATGCTGTTGGAGTGAGAAAAAATTTAAGGACAGTAAATAGTTATTTATACCATCGCATATCAGAGACTACATGATTTTTGAAGGTATTGAGAGAAGAGCCACCGGTTGGTAACTTGAAGGTTCGCTGCCTCGACCTCCTTTGAAAATTGGTGTGATGTGAGCCAGCTTCCAATTTTCCGGTGGTCTACCTCGGCTTAGCGAGTGTGAGGACATCACGCAAAGCGGCATTGCCAGGATTGAGGCTGCTTCCCCCAGTATAGCAGAATGAACCATATCCGAGCCGGAAGTGCCAATTATTGAGTGCTGCAGTTTCCGGAACACCAAGTCAGCGCTCAGGTTTGCCTCTGAAAGTCCTGTGCAGTAGCAAATGAAGCTTTCGTTAGTATAGTTTATGTTGGTTGGTTGAAATGTCCGAGAGTATTGCTCAGCCAAAAGGTTAGCGGCATCGCCGGCGTTATTGGTCGGGTCATTAGGACCTTGCAGCTGGGAAGCTCAAGTTTCGGCTTGTCGAAGAGAGGCTGCATAGCGGAATTAGCTTTTCGGATTAAAGACAAATTTATCCATAAGCTTTATCTGGTACTGGAGCCTGTCTTCTCTCATAGCCTTCGTGCATATGTTCCTTATATGTTTGTATTGCCTGTACGCTCCATTGTTGTCAGTTCGTTTGTACTCTGCCCAACAGTGCCTTTTGCACCTTAGCAAGCGAAGAGTGCGGTTCCTGATGATTGTGGGTTGGTGATGGCTATGGGGGACCGTTTGAGGAACTGCATGCTTTGTAGCACATAACAGCGTTTGCAGTAAGATGTCCCAATGAACATCCACACTGAGTTGAGGGTGAATATCTCAATCCACCTGTCGTAGATTGTCCTGTAGAGCTGACACATTCAACCGTTTGAAATTTCAGCGCAAGTTGTTTGTGGGATATCTTAGCTCAGTTTTGTCGACGAAACTGGAAGTTATAACGGTGTGATCGCTTTTTCCCAGGGGAGCCAGGATTGAGAGGTTGTCAAATAGGAATTCTTCGTTTGTAAATACACAGTCTAAGAGCGATGGGGTCTGACTGTTTCTCCAACGAGTTGCCGACTTTACATTTTCGTATAATCCCAGATCCTCAATGGGGTTGAAGAACCGAGCTTCAGTTGAGTTTTCATCTCCGGTATACATATGTTCCACGAAGTTGACTCTAGGGAGATTGAAGTCCCCTAAAATCAGGATATGGGTGAACCCGAGACGCGTAGAGCTGGATAGTCCACCCAGCATACGACCGTCATGCTTAATGTCAGCAATGGGCTTCATATAGATGACCCCGACTAGGCACCTCGAAGTAGTAGACAATCTTACTGAGCACCATACGGATTCAGTAAGATTGTTAAACTCGAGGTTATGAACTTGGTGTACCTCCAAGTAAGATCGTATGTACACGGCTACCCCACCCCCAATTCCTGTATTTCTGTCGTTGCGAATTAAAGACATCCCAGGTGCTGCTAACTCCTGGTCCGAGAACTGAGAAGCTATCCAAGTTACAGATATTCCTATCAGATGATCCTTATTAGCATTGTCAAGTTCACGTAGTTTATACGTTTTATTTGGAAGACTCGCAGCGTTCATGTATAAGTAGTTTATGCTTTCAGTTTGAAACGCGCGAGCTTCTGCCTGTTTGTCTGTATGAGCCTTACGTGAATGGACAGGCAGCCTACCTATATGAGGTTTGCCGAGTCGGTAGGCCCTGTCTTTTGCAGGTTTTTTTATGAACAAAACAGTCCACAAGTGGAATTGTCAGCTCCGACTTATCTTTGTGCTTGATCCTGGCGTCGGATGGCCTACCCGGGTGCATATGGATTTCAGCTGGCAACCGACGTCTGTTGGCACGAAATTCTTCCGGAGTTGCAGCCGCCATATGGGAGGATAAGAAAGTTACCCTTATAAGCCAGGTTTCTGAGCCTCAAGGAATGCCTGATGAATTTCCATTCATAATGTCAGAGTTTGCTTGAATAGAGTCCGTTATTTCCGGTACACCTTGAACAATTATATTCCTTCCGCGGAACAACTTGCGAAATTCTTCAAAGACGTTCCAGATGAGATTCCGCTCAGAATATGGTGTGTCGGGCAGTATTCTTACGTTGCCATCGATTTTCAGTAAATGAATAGCTAACAGGACATTCTCGACGTCGGTAGCATTCTTAAGTTTTACACGAAGTTGACTCGGGTGATCTGATGCTTAGTTTCCTTTCTCCGAGTGGGCCGTATGACCGTCAAAAACTCTATTCTAGGAAGTTCGAGCTTCTTGTTCAACTCTCCCCAGAGCATCCTGTCATTTCTGTCCGGCAAACTGAGAGGAAAGTCAGGGTTGTCGTTGAGGTTCATGATTATGAGAGAGACATCACAAACCGTTATTGTTTTCCCAGGTTTTCCGGTGCGTTCATGTTCAGCACCTTGTTGTTTAGAGGTCAAAGCGCGTTTCTGATTCCTAGGTTTTGGATGAGCGGACGGACATTCTTGAAGGTAGACTGTGCGGTGAAATCACCATTTGATTTCCAAACAATACTCGGAAAGTTCAGCTTAGACAGTGACGCCTGGTCACTTTTAAAGTGAGTCTAATCACCTACAGAGTTTTTGGGAACCACTGTTAAATTCAAGGACCCTGAGCTGGGAGACGCGAGTTTGCCAAGGGAATCAGGGATTACAGGCCGTTTTAATTATTTTCTAGTGAGCTTCTGTGAGAGTTTATTCTTCTTCTGAACAAATCAATTGAAAGTGTGGATATCGCTTCTTCCGGTGGTCGGTTTCAAGAGTTGCTGATACATTGTGGAAACTTGTGTGTCGTGAACATTTTCTGAACACTTCTACTTCTCAGAGTTTTCTGAGTTAGATGGAATGAAAAGAGAAGATGTATCAAGTTCAAAGTCATTTCCTAGAATTTTATACAACAAAATCAGATATGATCTTACTTTCTCTGTCCATCCTGTAAATGGTAAGCCGCTTCTCATAGAATGATGATGATGACTGTAGTAGCTCTCCAAGTTTCAGTTCGGTACAATAGAGCTATCTTGACGCTCTTATTCAAAATTCTGAATTTGGTATTGGTTGACAGTTGTTTTAAGTTCTATATGTTCTTCAGTCAGAGGAATATGGAGCTTGCTGTGTCAATCCTTGCCTTCACCTCTGCATCGGATCTTCCTTGTTCATCGATGCGGCATCCTGGGTAGGTGAGGTATTCCACTTCTTCCAGAGTTTCTATATAAAATGTGGTTGGTTTGGTATTCTGTGTTTTCTATCTCAGGATCTTGCTTTTTGTCTGTGTGTGCTGAAACCTACCGACACAGAGCCTTCTGCTGCTACACTGAGTGTCTTCACATTCATTTATTAGTGTGTGTGGTAGAATAGTTAGGTGATCTGCGAGGATGTTTTTTCATGCTTACCTTGAAATGTCGAGGACTTCATAATCCAGCCAACCACCAGAAGAAAGAGAAATGGAGGCAGTTGAAGAATTATGGTCTATTATGATACCAATACTGC